GAGACCACATGCGGATATTTAATAAATACATCTTTTTGCCATACTATGTGTATTAGTCCGTTTCTGTTGCTTATAACAAAATACACGGAACTGGGTAATTTGTAAGAAAATGAAATTTATTGCTTACAGTTTTAGAGGCTAGGAAGTTCAAAGTCCAGGGAACACACCTGGGTCTTGGTGATGGCGACAGTGACAAAGGGGTCTCACAAGGCAGGAAATAGTGGAGCAGGGACAGAGAGAGACTAATCTCCTCATTCACTCTTTTTAAAGCTCTCAGAACCATACCGCTGACCACCATTATTAATCCACTCATTATAGCATGGTTCTACAATCTAATCACCTCTTTAAGGCCCCACCTTTCAATTACCATAACAGGATTTCCCACTCTCAACAGTTACAGTGGGGATTAAGCCTCAGCTGGGGGACATCCAATCTATATAATACTAAACAAACTGTCTTAATGTTTCCCTGTAGATCTGTATCTGCCCATCTCCCTGTCTTCCTCTCTTTTCTGTCCTCACTTTTTCTCTTCTATATTTATAGGATTTGCTAAAATGCAAAAAGTACCTGTAGTGGATTGAATTTGGGAGTTCCCCCCAAACTCCCTGAAACTTGAATTGTGTCCCTCCAAGTTTTATGTGTTGGAAACTTAGCCCCCACTTGTACCTGTTAAGAGGGTGGGAAGTCCTATTATGGTAGTTGGAAGGTGGAGCCTTGAAGAGGTGAATGGATTGTGGGACCATGCAGTACTGAGTGTATTAAAAATGGTGGTCGAGGGTGTGGTTCTGAGGGCTTTCAAAGAAGAGAGGCTGTCTTTCTCGCTCTTTCTGCTCTCTCTCTGCTGCCACAATCTTGCAATGTGAGACCCCTGGGTCACTGTCGCCACCACTAGATGGACTTTGGACTTCCCAGCCTCAGAAACTGTAAGCAATAAATTTCATTTTCTTTATAAATCACCCAGTCTCAGGTATTCTGTTACAGCAACACAAACGGACTAATATAGTACCTATTTGGAACACCATACAGTATAGCCTCTTAAAAAAACACCTGCATTCACTGGCTACTTTATCTTTTTAAAATATTAACATTTACTTGTACATATTTGTGGGGTACAGTGTGTTGTTTCAATACATGCATATATGGCACAATGACTCACTTAAGGTAGACAGCATAGTTTTGGACTTGTCAGTCCACCATTTCTCCCAGCCAGTGGTAACCATTATTCTCTGTACTTCTATGAGAACCACTTTTTTTTTCTTTCAGATTCCACATATCAGTGAGATCATGTGGTATTTGTCTTTTTTTTTTTTATCGAATCGTAATTGATTACACATTTTTGGGGTTCAACATTAATGTATGTTGATCAAATCAATATTATTAGCATATATATTATTACAAATTGTACTTATTCTTTGTGCCCCTTGTCCAATCTCTCCCCATCCCACTTTCCCTCCCCTCTCCCACCTCTGATAACCCTAGATTTCTTCTCTCCCTCTGAAAGAGTAATGGGCCCAGTGGCAGCAGTGGTGTGTCTCGTTGTGGGAGGAGAGGTTTGTCCCCAGCTCCATCTGTTTTTACATTAAGTTGTTGTTGCAGAGCAGCTGGGTGGGAGGGGGAGAAAGGAAGGGGTAAGGAAATAGTGTGGTTGAGGTCCATGGAACCTCCCATTCCTGCAGGGGAGACCAGGGGGCTTCCAGTGGTGGCTTGGTTGTTGCTGGGCTGAATGTAGATGTCAGGGCTGTGTGTGGCTGAAGCCCTTGGCTCCCCACTGCCCTGGCTCAGGAGACCAGGGAGCTTCCAGCAGTGGTTCAGTGATTATCGCTGGGCTGGTTTTAGATGTTGGGGGGTGATGAGGCTGAAGCCCTCAGTCTCACACTGTCCCAGCTTCTTGCTGTCGCTCAGTGGTCACTGCTGGGCTGGCTGTAGGTGTTAGGGGTGGGGGGGAGGGAGGCGTGGCCAAGGCCCTGTGGGGTCCCATTGTCCTGGTTTGGGAGAGCAAGGCGCTTCCTGCAGCAGGTTGATGGTCATTGCTGGGCTGGTTGTGGGTGGAAGGGGGCATGGCTGAGGCCCCTGGCTCTCATCCTTCCGTGGTTTGGGGGTCCAGAGGGCTTCCAGGCCTTTTAGGTTTTATAGGTGTTCTTGGTGAAGTGAGAACTTTACTAGTTAATATTAAACTTTGTCTCTGTGGGTACTTTGTTTTTTCTTTCAGTTCTGTGTTGGATTATTCACTGTTCCCACTACTTAAACTCTGCACTGGAACTAATTTGTTGTCTTTTGCTTACTTCTAAAAGGAGGAACTTCCTGTGGGGACCAGCACTTGAGCCCTGTGGTTGAGCTAAATTGATGCTTTGCTGCTGATTCTCTGGAGAAGGCTTTTAGTGCAGCTCAGGTTTTAACGGCTGACTTTGTAGGTACTTCTGGGTTGTGCAGAAACTCTTGTCTGGACCTGGGTCTTTTCAACAAACTGCTCCCCCTGCAGTTCTATGTTCCTGACCAATCTACCGAGTGGTCCTGCGCTGATTGGGGGGCAGATCAGCTGTCCATGCTGTGTCCCAGTGTTCCCCTGGTGGGCGATCTCCCCCACCGCCCACACTCCAAACACTTTCCATGGGACTGGCTGTGCGCTGGTCCCTTGTGATGACTCATGGTCTCTGAGTGGCTCCTTTTTTCTGTTGCTTGGCTCCTCACTCCTGTGTGGGTCCACAGAACCCTGTTAGTGATCCTGCTGGCCTGAGGGCCACCAAGGCCCTCCTCTACCCTGCGGCCTCCAAGCAACTTCATCCAAAGGGCACAGCTGCAGCTTTTTCCAGCACTTGCTCCATGCGCTCACCATCTCCAGCCTTGAAGTGGCCAGGATTCAAAATGGTAGGAGCAATCCTTTCTTTCTTTCACTGCGGCTTCTCCTGCCCTCATGAAATCTGTAGGTTTCTCCTCCTCATCCCCTGAGCCCTAGCA